AAATTAATTTGGGGTGTTGTGGGTAACATTTTACAGTCAACAGAAAAATCATTTGTCAATGTTCAAAGCATTTCTGAGGTATAACTGAGAAAGAAATGCACTTGTGTTACATCATGTGGTTGTTAACATCATTATATTTAGCAAAACCCATCGTCAAAACAGCCTGTTCTAAAAGCCCCCCTGCGACTGGACAGAAATTAAGATGCAAGAATAAACTAATTAGAGTTGCTGCACTCTAACAAGCTCCCAGGGGAAAGTTACTGAGTCTGGAGAGCTATGGGAGGAATAGAGTCTTTGGGGTTTAGTGGGGCATGCTGAGGGGTTTGGGTGAGGAAGCTCCCTCAGGAGATTGACGTGAGCCTCTCTGGGGGCTGATTAGAGCAGAAGAACAGAGGCAAGTGACTTCAGGGTGACAAAGAAAGGAGACAGAGACATCCTGTGTCGTGTAGCCCCTTGGATGTGCCCTGCCAAGGGGCTCAGTGCTAATTCCCAGCCCATCTGAATGGTGATGCCTTTGGTCATCAGCAGCTGAGGTTTTCCCCCGGTCACTCTGAGGACAAATACACACCGAGTGCCACATCCTTGCCCCTCAGGCCTGGCACTTCGCAGCTCCCCCTAAACCTTTGCCTATAGCCTAACACCTAACCCTGAAAGGTGAGCTCTCATCCTTAGCCCTGCCCTGATCACTGAAGCTGAAACCCTCACCAGATACCTGAAATCTAAGCCCTACCTACCTCCCTAATCCTTTCCCTCAACACCCCTCATCTTCAACCAAGTCCTTCCCTGGGCTGGCCTAACCCTGGGCAACAGCCCTGGGTGGGGTGCAGCTCAGCAGAAAAGGCCCTGGGGGTCATGGTGGACAACAAGCTGCACATGAGTCAGCGGTGACGGCTGGCAACCCAGAAGTCCAACAGCATCCTGGCTGTCTGAAGAGGAGCATGGCCAGGAGATGAGGGGGAGGGATTCTCCCCTTCCATTCAGTGCTTGCTAGACCACATGCCCAGTACTGCACTGAGTTTGGGGCCTCCTGCCCCCCGTACAGGAAGGACATCATCAACTGGAGCAAGATCAATGAAGAGGCACCAATACAGTCGGGCATGTGTAGACGTACAGGGGGCTGGAGAGCTTCCCACCTGAGGAAAGGCTGAGGGAACACTCTCCAGTATGGAGACGAGAAGGCTTTGGGAAACCTCGTAGGAGCATTTCAGTACCTGTCAGGCAGCTAAGAAAATAGAGCCAGGCTCTTCATCGTGGTGGATGGTGGGAAAAGGAGAGGCAAGGGACAAAAGTGGAAAGAATTCAGGCAGGAGATGAGGACCATGAGGTCATAACCATGAGGTCACTTACACACTGGAAGAGGTTATCTTGAGAGGCTCTGCAACCCAGACCCTTGGAGGTTTCCAAGCCTCCTTTCCCCCTACATATGGTCTCCCAATATTGAACAAAAAGCTCTGGCTCAGACAAGAATGAAGCAAAAGCCTATGGCACCAACACGAGCTCTTCCTCCCCTGGCCCTTCACTTCTCTGTGAGAGGTGTCTGCCACCAATCCCACACTTCTTTCTTCCTCAGCCTTTGCAGCTGCATGTGCCTGGCCTGCTCACTTGACTTTGCAACCATCACCTTTGTATTTAAGGCCCAACATATCTTGTCACCCACTGTAAGCTGGCACCCACCCCGCAACTGGAGCCCACCTGGCCACAGGGGCAGGGAGAGGCCAGGCCCTCTGCTTGACTGGGCACAGCTTTTTCCTGGGAACGTCCCCAAGGAGCTCTCCTCACGTGTGTCAGGCTGTGGCCTGGCACGGGTGGCACAGGGACAAGGGCTGCTGGGTCAGGGCTGAAGTAGCTCAGCTGGGAGAGCGTTAGACTGAAGATCTAAAGGTCCCTGGTTCAACCATGGGTTCAGCAATGTTTTTCTCCCTTAGGGTCTTGCAGAGCCCGTCTGCCTTTGTCCATCCTGCCCTGGCCCTCCTCGCTCCTTCCCCTCTTGCCAGAGCACTGCCCGTGTGCGCTGTAGCTGCACATCTACAGGTTAGAAGGAGCCTTCCTCTTGCACCACAAGCCCCCAGCCTTCCCTGGGCAGGACTCTCCACTCAGTGTGTCTTTGGGGTGTTCTCCAGCTGGGTCTCCTTCCCTGCTCCACAGGGATCGGGATCTCTCCACTCAGGGGTCTCTGCAAAGACTGTCTCTCTCCTCATGGTCATTCTCACTGGTGCACAGACTGCTCCCCTCCTCACACACATCCTTCACCTCAACCTCAGTTCCCAGACCAGGGCACACTGCCCACAGGGAGGCCATCGTCCGCAGTCCCAGGGAGAGGCACTCCTTGCAGCTGAGCAGCACAATTGTCCCATGTTTACCCACGAAGATACCACCCCTGCATGTGGTCAGGCTCTCAGCCTTGGAGTTAACAGCTGCCCTGCTCAGCCACCCTGCCACGGAGACCCCAGCCAGGCTGTCCCAGGGCACTGCTTTGCTGTCAGGACAGGCCTCAGCACTGGAGGAGTGGGGAGGTCCCTGAGCCCAACCCACACCCGCAGCCCCAGGGAGATGGAAGCCTGCTGTCCACCTCACCTCCTGGGATGCTGGTGGGAGGAGTGGTGCAGGGCAAGGCCCAGTGACTAGAGGAGGGGTTATGGGATTTCTGCCCCTGTGTGCCCCCACCACACACCCTGGGATGTCATCAGAGCCTGGGGGCACCTCGCCCTGTTGCACTGCTCCTCCTTGGGAACAGGGAGCCCAAACTCAGAGAAATAAGGCTGCTCTCCCATGGGCTTTCCACATCTGAGCTCTGCCCAGTGTGGGGCAGGGTGCTGAGGGCTGGGGTCTCACTGCGACCCCCCTCAGGTAGATCCTCAGGAGCTGCAGGAGCAGACACAGATCTGGGGCACAGTGGCAATCCTGCTTTGATGCAGAGAAGGGACCCATCTGGGGGCCATCCTGTTAGGTCCCAAAATGCATGAAACAGGTTCTTTCTGCTCAGGGGTGCTGCCCCTCAAGCACACCCACGCCTGGGGCTTATTTCCTCAAGGAAGAGGCAAACCTCTACCAGGTGCCAGATTATGGGAGAAATATTACACCTGTGGGAGGGCAGAGCTGGTGGGGCAGTCACACCGGACAGGCACTGGGCTCTTCTCCCCAGTTCCCACTTGGGGCACCTGGAGTGTGCAGATCAGTGTCCATACTGTCCAGAGGCCCCCACCATCCCGTGTTCAGAAGATAACACTCCCCTCTTCTTTACTTCACCTTTATACCTTATTTCTCTGAGATGCAGGGCTGGAGCTTATCCCAGTGGGAGTTCTCCAGGCTGTGTTTGCAATGCCCATGGATGTCACGCATCATTGTGGGGGTCTTGCCCTGGGAACACTGCTCTCCCATGGGGCTGCCAGCAGGAAGGCTCTCAGGTGTGGGGCAGAGGGATGTGTGAACCTCGGCTCCCCCCAGGTGCCCCCAGGGTCAGCCAGGGGTGGAGGAGCTCCCAGCAGGGAATGGGGCAACACTGCTATAGGAGAAGATGTTGGCAACGTCTGCCTCCTCTCCACTTCTGCTCCAGGGCCAGATCCTGCTGTTTGCAGCACTATGGAGCTGCAGCTACTCCCACAGGCAATCCTGCCACAGACACCCAACACACCTTCCAGCCTGCAGCAGAGAAGCCCATTGGGGAAGAGCCGGTGGAGTGCGGAGACCCACCAGCGGGAACAGGGAGGGCAGTTGGGCAGTTTGGGCGCCAGGTCCTGCCCAGGTGCCAAACTCTTCTCCCAGCCTGGCTTCTGCACAAGGTTTCTGTGCCGTGGGTGCTGGGGCAGGTGAAACCCCAGCTGAGGGAGAGGGACCGGGACCCTGGCTCAGCTCCCAGCAGCACCTGTTTTAGTGGAGGGACACAAAATCTCCACTGCCATGGAAATGTGCCCACATGAGCATCCTCCCAGATGGGCCTTCTCCAGGCCAGGGGCTGGACCAGCTTTTGGCTGCCGCACGCGTCTTGTGGGGAAGCTTTCTCCATCCCCCTGGCCCTCTAACAGCGCTGAGGGAACGGTGCCCTCATCCTCGGTGCTCCCAGCCCTCCGTACCTGCCCACAAGTACTGCCCCCACACAACCCAAACTGACATCACCTGGCAAGGCAGCAGGGGGGCAGGGGTGGGAGCTGGAGGGGAGCAGGAGGAGGGTTTCCCAGGGCTGCCTGGGTCTGCAAGGCAGGAGGAACAGCCCATGGAGACTGGGGTCCTGGCAGAGCATGAGGAGAGAATCCCAGCCACGTGTTTCCCAGGAGGTGGCTCTGCACCCTGTGCCAGGGCAGTGGGGAGCAGAGCTGCCTCCCAAGCATTGTGGGAGTAATCCGCGGGCCATGATCCCACCTGGGGCTGGCTGGGGTTTTCAGGGACCTGCGGTCACCTTAGCTCGCTTCTGTGAGACAAAAGCCCAGGGCTCACCCTGACATGGCAGCTCTGTCGTGGCCTCTGCATGGTGGGATCAGTGTGGCCCAGGCAGGGCCTGGGGAAAGAGCAGCTGGAACCCTTGGGGGAGAAATGGGTGCTCCCACTGGGGTGCATCATGGGACCTATCAGAGAGTCACTTTGATTAGAAACTGCCTGTGGGCAGCAGGATGGATGTCTCTCTCACCAAGATTATTCCCCAGGGACCATGGCCTCACGCAGCCCCACAGGCTGACCCTGAGCCTGCTGTCCCTGAGACGTGTCCCTTCCTTGCCATGGTGTCTCTGTTCTCTGCTCCCCCTGACCAGCCTCAGGGAGATGCCCTGACACCTGGTAGGGAAGCATCAGCTCTGGGTCAAAGCCCCCAGAGGCTTTTAATAAGCAAATATAAGAATGCACAGCATAAAAATGGGAATAAAAACGGAGGAAACTCCCAGCGTTTCTGCTGCCCATGGCTCAAGGGAGACAGTCCCCTGGTGCTCGCGGCTCTCCCAGCTGCACAGACCTCTCCTCCCTCCCGGCTGCACCCAGCTGTGCAGCAGGGATGGGCTCTCCTGGCCTGGGGCTCAGGGACTGCTGTGCACCAAGCTCGGTGTCACAGCCTTTGCGTCCTCACAGGGAAGTGCCACAGGCACCTCTTCAGCATCATCATAGCCCATGCTCCCCGGGGACAGGGACGAGGTGTCTCCTTCAGCTCCAGGGACGTCGGCACTTCTCCAGGAGCGCAGGCTGCCCCCTGCAAGCAGCAAGGTCGGACGTTTCAGTTCACCCCATGGGGTCTGTACACCACCACCCTCCCCTCCTCACACTTCAGCTCCTTCTCCCACCCCCGGGCCTTTCAAGGAAAACTCCCATGCCAGGTTCCCTTCCCTGCAGGTTTGGGTGTCAGTAGGGTAGTGACTTGAGGGGCACCAGGGATGGCACCCTAGGAACAGGCAGCGCTCTCTTTCCCTCTCACCTCCAGGTGCAGCCCTGGGCCCTGCTCCCTCCTCTGGCATCCTGGGCATTTCCCACTCTCCCTGCCCAGGCACAGCATCCTCCCCCGCATCAGGAACCTCCCTGGCATCATCGTAGCCATCTGCTGGGTCACCTCCGGGCAGGACAAGGACATCTGAAAGGAGAGGGGAGTTGGTGACAGTGAGAAGATCCGTCCTGCAGAGCAGAGGATGAGGATGTGCAGGGACACAGAGCGCAGACACTGGGCTTGGCAGAACCACAAGTGATGCCCATGTCCTCCCCTTCTCCGATGGTGACACTCAGGGACACCTCTGTCCACCCCATGTCTGCAGGGAGATCAACCCCTTCCTGCCTCCGTTACCTGGTGCTGATCCCAGACCTTTCTCCTCCTCACTGACCCCAGGGTGGGGCTGCAGCTGGGTCAGGGACTCCTCTGAATAGGAGCCTGGAGAGATGCACAGCGGGTGTTATGGAGCAAGCCCCACTGACGTGGTTCACGGTCAGCGCTGCTGGGGAAGGGGGACCCACAGAGCTGGGGCTATGTGGGGAGGAGGGCTGGGAATTCACCCTGCTCCCCCGGGACAAACCCTGTCTCAAAGGAGCTTCCAGAGCTGGCCCAGGACAGCCCCTTCCCTCGCTCCTCGGGTGTCTCATGGGGTGCAGGGGCAGGAAGAGAGGGGCTGTCCAGCTGGGACAGTCAAAGCTGACTGGGAGAAAGCTTCTCTCCTGGTCAGGACCTGGATGCTCTCCCCACAGCTCCCACAGCCCCACCACAGGGACCACAGGCTGGGGGGCTTCAGGGTCAGCTCCTGGTTGGGGCCAAGGAAAGGGTCCTGCGGATGTGCCTCCAGGGAAGACCCACACCCACCTGAGCGATCAAACTGGCCCGTTTCTCCCACGCTGGGCTGTACCCGATCTCCTCGTACACAGCCTCGGGGAAGGGCTCCTGGGCTCTGCTGGAGCCTGTGGACAGAGGCAGGGCTGGCACAGGGACAGGCAGAGGGGCAAAGGGACCCACTGTGCTCCCCCAAAACGGTTCCATGTGCCACCTCAGGACTGGTCCAACAGCACAGCCCCACTGCACTGTCCAGGCACAGCTGCCACATCCCCAGTGAGGGCAGCATTGGTGTGAAGATTATCTGGGGCAGCATCACCCTCACATCATCCCTTTGGAGACAGTGCTCATGCCCCTCTGGCCTGTGCGCATGTCCCCCTTGTCTCACCCTGGATATGTTCCCACATTTCCTCTCCACCTGGAGCTTGCCCCTACCTGCCCCTGTCCCACCAGGGGGTGGGCAGGGCTGGGCAGGGGGACAGCCTGGGGGCCTGACACCACGGTGATGGACCCTGCTGCCCCACACTCCTCCTAGCACTCTCTTGCCCCAGAGCCCCCTCCAGCACTACCGAGAGCACTGCCAGCCTTGGCCATCCCCTCTCTGCCATTTCTCTCCTCACACCATGGCTAACTGCCCCCACCTCGGGCTCTCTCCACCCCTTGCTGCTGGTGCCCCACAGCCAGGCACTCAACGGGGAAGCACGAGGCAGGTAGCAGCACACAGTCTCACCCTCCCGCTCTGCCTGTGCCCCTTGCTGACACCCCCGCAGCACCCCACAGCCCTACCAGGAGGTATCTCCCCCCGCACCTCTGGGCAAGGACCCACCTCTGCGCCAGCCCTGGCGCTCAGCACTTGCCAGCCAGGAGGGCCAGGAGCAGGCAGACAAGGGTCCCCAGGATGATGCACATGATGACGGGCACTGAGACTCTCCCGCTGCTGCTCTGATGGCTCGGGTGGGATCTGCATGGGAGACAACTTCGAAGGGGCAGCACCCAGGGGTGAGTGACAGGAAGCTTCCACCCTCCTGGGTAAATTATAGCTCTCCCCAACCCCCTGCCACCACTCCAGTATCTCCTCCAGGCAGTTTCACACCCCAGCTAGGAGCCCCTTCCATCCAGCTGTGGGTCACAGCCTGGCCCCGGGGGTACCAGCTGGGGAGGACAAGTTACCTGCTCGGGGTGGGGGTGTTGTCGTCCTGGGTGTAGCTGCAGAGGAGGAAAAGGAGAGCTGGGCTGACACTGGGTGTGTGGGTATCAGGAAACCTCCTCCCCAACACACCGTGTTTGTGTGTGTGTGTGTGTGTGTGTGTGTGTGTCTCTAGATGTCCCTGACACATCCACCCAAATTGCCCCTCCTGTAGTGCCAGAAAGGGAGGCCGGGGCAGAGCCCAGCACCTCTGCTCTGGGAGGCAGGCAGGATGGCAGAGGCAGCCCAGGGGATAGCCCTGGGGCTGCAGGGCCCCACGGGCAGTGGCCAGAGCACGGCCAGTTACACCGAGGCTGCTCCCTGCCTGGCACCGGGCTCCTGCACTCCACAGGAATGTTCTTTCTCTCGGAAGGTCGGGGTCCATGCCCGGACCGCGTGGACAAAAGGCCTTCCCTAGTCCCTGCTAATACCCGAGCAAGGCTCCCAGCCCTGCCACTCACCTGAGCAGCGCACGGCAGCATCTTCCTTGTGCCGGCAAGCCCCGCTGTCCCCGGGCCGGGCCCAGCAGTCCTGCAGGGATGGCTCCGTCCCCTGGCACTCCACCTGCTCCAGCCAGATGGGGCCCGTCCCCATCCCAAATGCAGCCTCATGCAGGGCAGACACCGCGGGCCACAGCCCAGCTGCCTGCACGCCACCTCGGCATCCTGCATGTCCCACGAGTCGTCGCACACCGTCCCCCAGGAGCCACGGTGCCAGACCTCCACTCTGCCCGAGCACCGTCCTTGCCTCCCACGGCACGAATCTTCTCCCTGGCTGGAGAAGAGTAAGACCTCCCATGGCACCGGGAGAGCAGGCAGAGCCCTGCCAGACACAGAGGGGAGCTCCCTACCTGTGCAGCTCGTGGAGTTGGGGCACGGCCAGCGAGGTTGGAGGCATTTCTGGCTGTCCCCCTGAAGAAGGAAACACTGTGGTGAAGGGGCTGGTTTGGGGGATCATGCAGAAGAGAGTGGGGCTGAGCTCTGCTCGGGCCTCCCTGCACCATCTGGGGCAGCAACTGAAACCCTGTCATCCATGGGACACATGCAGGACTGTGGGGGGACCCTGATTGCTCAGCCCCAGAAGGTCCCTGGCTCACAGAGCAGCAGTAGCTTGTCTGTGGAGGGGAGGCTCTTCTGAAAACCATCTGGTCTCTTCTGAGACCTCACCTGGAGATGCCTCTGCTTCCCCAGGCACTGCTGGCAACCTGGGTGGCAACTGCTGCTGGATGTGTGTGGCCGCGGTCACGTTTGTGCCACTGGCAGCACAAGGGTCTGGCATGGAAAGTAAAAGCCTCTCCAAGCTCTTTCTCTGTGTTTGGCCATGCCCTGTGGGAGCAGCTGGGGTGACACTGGTGCCTGGGTGCCTCAGAGTTACCATTGCAGGTGATGTGGATCTCCTCTTCCAGGTATTCACATGACTGTGGGTTCCAGGGTGTGGAGGGACACTGCCAGAAAGAGCTGTTTGTCTCCCCACACCGCACGATCCAGCCAGGCAGGGCCAGACACCCTGCCAGAGGGCAGGCGTGTTTCGAGGGATCCTCTGTCCCCGCAGCCCAGCTCCTTGCACGCCAGTGTCACCGTGTTGTCAGTGATGGAGTTAGAGCAAATGCTCCCCCATGTCCCGTTGTAGAAAACCTGCAGGCGCCCGGAGCAGCCGTCGCTGTTCTCCAGCCTCAGGGCCACGAACTCTGGGAAGAAAAGGCCCCAAAGCGGGAACAGGCTGATCTGGGGCTGTGGGAGCCAGGACACCTCTACACCCCCCAGGCCCTCAGCCGGGAGGGGCAAGGCCACCACATCCCCCTTGCACCCAGGGGCAGAGAGAAGTCCCGGATTTACAGCCAGCCCTGCCCTTCCCGCTAACCCTCAGGGACGCTGAGCTCCCCAGGGACCCCCCGTGGGACTGAGGGTGTCCGTGCATGGGTGGGCCTTGGGCAGGAGCTCAGAGGCAGCCAGGGGCAGCCTTGGCCATGGCCGGCTCTCCCCGCGTCCTGCCCTCCCCGGGACCAGGCTCCCACCACAGCTCCTGAGGTGGCACAGACCTGAGCAGACGACTCCCGCATCCTCTTTGTGCCCGCAGTCGTGCTGCCCCCAGGGCCCAGCCGGGCAGTCCCAGAGAGCAGCTTCGGCCCCGGAGCAGTTCACACCATCCAGCCAGATCTGCCCGGAGCCTTCCCCGAAGCGAGCGGAGCCGGCTGCCTCCACTGCCTCTCCGCAGCCCAGCTGGTGGCAAACGACGGCGGCATCAGACAGGTCCCAGCCGTCGTCGCAGACAGTCCCCCAGATGCCCTGGGAGTAGATCTCCACTCTCCCTGCACAGCGCCCGGCCCCGTTCACCAGCCGGACCCGCCGGCTCCCTGCAGCGGGTGGAAACCCCAGTCGCTGTCAGGGCCTGCGCCTGCGCAGACACCGTCACCTGGGCGCCTGGGCAGTGCCACTCACCCCAGCAAATGACTCCCACGTCCTCCGCAAGCCCTGCTGCCAGCGCACTGCTGGGCAGGGAGGTGTTGCAGAGGGTCAGCTTGGCCTCGTGCCCTGCACACCGGACCCCTCGCAGCCCCACGGGGCCCGTCCCTCGCTCAGGCTTTGGGGGGTTGTAGGCTGTCCCTGCCTCTCCGCACCGCAGCTGCCGGCACACCACGCTGGCCTCCTGCACGTCCCACTGCTCATCCAGGACTCTGCCCCACGCCCCATCCTGGAAGATCTCCACTCGTCCGTCGCACCGGCTCCCTCCGCCCACCAGCCGCAGGGATCCAAAGCCGGCTGGGCCTGGGGAAGCAGAATGCCACGGCCATCGGGCACCGGGAGCATGGCACCCTGCAGGGAGCAGGGCGAGGGGGGATTTTCAACCAAACGGGACAAGGTGGAGCCTTGTGCTGACGAGAAACAAGGGCAAAGCCTGGGCCCTCCCTGCAGCTCACAGCCAGGTCAGCTGCTGCTGGGGGCACCAGCTCCTGCCTGGGTGGGGGGATGAGGCTCTGCAGGGCTCTCTGTGGGGACGGGTCGGCTGCAGCCAGAGGGATGGAGCAGAGCCCTGCAGCCCTGTCCTGGGCTCGCTGCACAGTACGAGGACAGAGGAGCCCGGGCCTGGAGGTGGTGCTGGGGCCTAAGCCACTGCCCTGGGGGCAGATGCCTGCCTCTGTTCAGTCCTCAGCTCTCCCAAAGTCGAGCGGTCCGTCTGAGCAGGGAAAGCCCTCCAGACGGTTCCTGGGGAAGCCAGGGTTTCCCCAAGGAGAAATTCAGCCTGATACAGCCATGGAACCCTACTTTTAGTGGTTATGTTGCACACAAGTTACAAATGGAGCTCATGCAGCATTTTTCCAGCACTCACCTGAGCAAATGACAGCAGCAGCGTTCCCTTGGGAGCACGGCGAGGCCCCCAGGGTGGTCACTGGGCACTGTTGCAGGAGGGCTTCAGTCCCGTCACAGTGGAATGAGTCTCTCCAGACAGGGCCAGTCTCTCTCCCAAAATGTTCTCCTCCAGAATGGATTCAGCAAACCCGCAGTTGAGTTGCTGACAGAGAACGTGGGCATCCGAGAGATCCCAGCGGGAGGCACAGAGGGTCCCCCAGGTCCCCAGCACCTGGACCTCCACCCTCCCCGCACACACTGTGCTGCCATTCACCAGTCTGATCCCTGTGTACTCTGGGGACAGAGGCAGAGAAAAGAGAGTGGATTGGTGCTTCTGTACCCTCAGTAGCTGGTGGAGAGGCCAGAGGGACAACATGACTTTGTTTTCCTTCTGCAGTATTGTCATGCTGCAAACAAACCCATCAACCCCTCCTGTCCTCACACCCGGCCCAGCACGGTCCCTGCTCTGTTCCCCAACCCCTACCACAGCCCCGGTGTTCAACAGCCCACCCTGAGTCCTTACCTGTGCAGTTCACAACAGCGCTGTTTGCGTGGGTGCAGGGCTGGTCCCGGGGGGACCCACGGGGACAGGAGGCGAGGAGGGATTCATTCCCCACACACCGCAGCTCTCCATCCCACATGGGACCCACCCCTTCTCCAACGTGACTTCCTCCAGTGACAGGCAGGGCTGTGCCACACTGCAACTCCCTGCAGAGCACGTCAGCAGCCTTAGGACCAAAGTGGGAATCACAGACACTTTTCCACAGGTCCCGTCACGGATCTCCACGCGTCCTGAGCAGCGGTTCTTCCCTTCCATCAGACGGACAAATCCTGGAAATAAATCAACTGGGAGTTCCTAGAGCCCTGTGGCATTCCCATGCCCACATCCCACAACACCTCCATGCAAACTGTGACCAAAATCACTCACTGCACAAATTAGAAGAAGATATTTAAGGGGTGATGGTGTCACTAATGCATCCATATCAAGTTACACACCTTCTCTCCACCATCACAGCACTCAGGGGGGTGTGTCTATTGCAGACCCACAGCAGACTCTGCAAACCACGTTGGCACCGTTGGGGCCAAAGTGTGAGTTACACACCGCGTCCAAAGGGCCTCATCATGGATCACTATACATCCTCAGAAGGACCTGTGCCCTTAGAGCAGCCGGACAGATTCTGGACCAACCAATGACCCTGAGAGTTTCCACAGCCCTCTGGCAATACCCTGACTACATGCCAGCTGATCTCCAAGGTGGCCACAGACAAAAAGCCCTACGACATCCCCAGCTGCTCTCAGGGGTGCTGGTGGTACAAACACATCACGCCCGCCCTGCTGCTCCTCAGAAATCAGCACAGCACTTGGGGATTTGTTTCTCTTCCAACATCCACAGCCACAGGAATCTCTCCAACAAACTGCTGCTGCTGCAGAGACGTTGGGCTGCCCAGTACTGGTCCCTGGGCACTGCAGCCCCCATAGCACTCGGGGTTTGGGGAAATGGGGCCAGGCGCGTTTGGCTGCTGCAGCTTGCTCTGCCCCACTGAGCTCAGCGCCAGGCGTGAGGAGCCCCTTGGTGCCATGAGAAGTGCACCACATGCCCACAGAGATCTTGGGCTGTTGGGGTGAGGCTGGTGGATGGGACATGTCACAGGACTAAGGGACTGTGAGGATGTACCCGTGGTCAGTGGCTGGGCCACCAACCTGCTCAGGAGCCTACCCAGTACAGAGGTTCTCGGCCATGGCCAGAGTGCGCTGCTGGGCATGCATGGCCCTGCCCAGTGGCTGGGCAGAAGGCAGGAGAGTGGACAGAAGAGCAGCCCTGGGCTTACACGTGCTCCTGGTTCAAGGGTGGGCACAGAGGAGAGCCAGTGAATTGCTGGCAAATCCCCTGTGGCACAGAGCAGCCAGGGGCTGGGGCAGGCAGAAGAGGCTGGGTGGCAGGTCATCACTGCCTGCACGGTGCCATGTCCCCATGAGCAGGCTCTCATGGGGTGACCCTGGGAGAGGAACAAGGTGCCACGTGCCACCATGCTCTTCTAGCCAAGCCCAGTGCTCTTCCTCTCCAAGCAATCCCTTTGCTTCAGCCAAGAGACTCATGTCTGCCGGCAGGGATAACCCAAAGTAGCTCCCCATCTCACACCCTTCCCCAGGATGGTCGGTGGCCACAGGAGTCACTTCTGGTGCCTCTGGCATGGGGGCAGCTGGCCCGCAGCACCGCCAGACAGCTCCTGGGTGAACAGGAGGAGAAAGATGGCAATCAACAGACCGTGCAGGGCAGGGATGGAGGGTTCATCTGTGCCAGCTCAGGGACCAGGCACAGTAAGGCACCCTTGGGCAGGTTCCCACTGGCTTTCCCCAGGCACTGGGGACACCAGTAATGACAGTCCCAGCTCAGCAGTGTGACTGGCCACACTGGGCAATGCTCTGGTGCCTGACTTTTGCTCCTTGAGGGCGCAGCAACGTTCCTTCCACAATCTGAGCCCCAGAGGTATGGAATAGGTTGTCATCTTACCTGAACACACACTCCAGCATCATAAGCATGACCACAGTCATGTTCACCCCATCCTCCGTGTGTGCAGTCAGACAGGTAGATTCGGTGCCATTACAGCCAACATCATCCATCCAAATGGGGCCAGATCCTTGCCCAAAGTGTCCGTACTGAGGAGCTTCAACAGCAGACCCACAGTCCAGCTGTTTACAAACCACTGCTGCATCCTTCATGCTCCAGTAGTGACTACACACGGTCCCCCACTTGCCGTGTTGTTTCACCTCCACTCTCCCAGCACAGCGCCTGCCGCCGTCCGCCAGCCTCACCTCCACAGCACCTTCAAACACTGACAAGGACCAGTCAGGACAGCGCTCAGCCCCAGCACCACGGGTCTGGGAAGCCCTGTGCAGGTGGAGTCCGAGGCACCAGGGTGGGAGCCCACTCCCCTCCAGGCTGTCCCCAGGGCAGTTCAGGGGTCCCTATCCTCATGGGCTGTGCAAGGCTGGGGTGCCTGCTCCAGCCCTGCTGGGTCATTTGTGGCACCACACACTTTGGCACTTCCATCCACAACAACCCCTCGCCCTGACCTGTGCCCACCCAGGGCTCCTGCTCCTCCCCAGACAGCACCCTGAAAAGGGACCTGTCCCCACCAGGGCTCCCCCAGGCTCACATGCTACTCCTCCCCAGAGCCCCCAGCTCCCCTAGACCACAGCCTGCCCTGGGCCCCTCCCAACTCAACCTCTCCCTCAGGACTTTCCGTGTCCCTTGTGGAGCAAATGATGGTCCCAGTGAGGCCTCCCAACCATGCCCCCTCCTTGTCCTTGGGCATCAGCCCAGCCCTGACCTTGTCTGGGATCCCCCAGGAAGGTCACCCCTTTGCGAGCCTCTGGGAACAGATTCCCCAGTTCCCTTGTCTCCACAAGCACAACCCACCCCCGGTCAGCCGGGATCACCCTGACTCCGGACAAGAGTGAAGAGCCCACACCCCTTCCTGGGTACCCCGAGGCTGGCTGTGCCTCTGGGATGACAGAACAAAGAGCCACCAGTTAAGGCACCACCAGCTCACAGGGAACAGAGCTGGCAGAGCCAGGGCCCCAGGGACGGTGCCCAAGGATGGCAAATCCACACCCGGGTACCAACGGCCAGAAACGTGGGAGCCCTGGAAGCAGAAAAGCCCTTCTGCCACGCAGAGAAGCACAGGCTCAGTGAACCTGTTCATTTCTAGTCCTTGTCACATCGACACATGGGAAGAAGCCCCATTTCCAGAGGGATCCCTGTGCTGCTCCTTGGCCCCAGGGCTTTGTGGCAGGGCAGCAGGCATTTCCCCCTGCACAACTGCACCCAGAGGAGCAGCTACAGTAACTAAGGGGACAGAGGGACTCTGTCCCCATCCTGAACCTTTCGGCAGCCGTGCACCAAATGCAGGAGGATGGAACAGAAGCGAGACATTGGCTTCTGCATCTTTTCCTGCTTAACTGCAAAAGACAACATCACCCTCCTGTTTTCAGGCCAAGGCCAGCACAATCCCTGCCCTCCTCCCCTGCCCCCAGCACAGCCCCGGTGTTCAACAGCCCACCCTGAGTCCTTACCTGTGCAGCTCACAGCAGCGCTGTTTGCGTGGGTGCAGGGCTGGTCCCGAGGGGACCCCCTGGGGCAGGAGGCGAGGAGGGATTCATTCCCCACACACCGCAGCTCTCCATCCCACATGGGACCCACCCCTTCTCCAACGTGACTTCCTCCAGCGACAGGCAGGGCTGCGCCGCACTGCAACTCCCTGCAGAGCACGTCAGCAGCCTTGGGACCAAAGTGGGAATCACAGATACTTTTCCACAGGTCCCCGTCACGGATCTCCACACGTCCTGAGCAGCGGTTCTTCCCTTCCGCCAGACGGACAAATCCTGGAAATAAATCAACTGGGAATTCCTATAGCCCTGTGGCATTCCCATGCCCACATCTCACAACACCTCCATGCAAGCTGTGACCAAAATCACTCACTGCACATCTTAGAAGAAGATATTTAAGGGGTGATGGTGTCACTAATGCATCCATGCCAAGTTACACACCTTCTCTCCACCATCACAGCACACAGTGGTGTGTGTCTATTGCAGACCCACAGCAGACTCTGCAAACCACGTTGGCACCGTTGGGGCCAAAGTGTGGGTCACACACCGCTGTCCAAAGTGCCTCCTCATGGATCACTATACGTTCTCAGAAGGATCTGTGTCCTTAGAGCAGCCGGACAGATTCTGGACCAACCAATGACCCCTGAGAGTTCCCACAGCCCTCTGGAATACCTGACTACATGCCAGCTGATCTCCAAGGTGGCCACAGACAAAAAGCCCTATGACATCCCCAGCTGCTCTCAGGGTGTGCTGGTGGTACAAACACATCAGGCCCGGCCCTGCTGCTCCTCAGAAATCAGCACAGCAATTGGGGGCTTGTTTCTCTCCCATCATTCACAGCCACAGGAATCTCTCTAAAAAACTGCTGCTGCCACAGAGACCTTGGGCTGCCCAGTACTGGTCCCTGGGCTCTGTAGCCCCCACAGCACTCGGCGTTTGGGGAAATGGGGCCAGGCACGGTTGGCTGCTGCAGCTTGCGCTGCCCCACTGAGCTCAGCGCCAGGCGTGAGGAGCCCCTTGGTGCCACAAGAAGTACACCCCATGCCCACGGGCATCTTGGGCTGGTGGGGAGCCGCTGGTGCATGGAACATGTCACAGGGCTAAGGGACTGTGAGGCTGTACCTGTGATCGGTGGCTGTGCCACCACCCTTCTCTGGCGCCTACCCAGGACAGAGGTTCTCAGCCATGGCCAGAGTGCGCTGCTGGGCATGCATGGCCCTGACCAGTGGCCGGGCAGAAGGCAGGAGAGTGGAGAGAAGAGCAGCCCTGGGCTTCCATGAGCTCCTGGAGCAAGGG